TGCGGGGTCTCACTCTTTTGAGCGCGGGATGCAAGTGCGCCCCATAGAGAATTGAAAAAAAAAATTCCTGAAATTCTGAGGACGAATTTTATTTTTGGCTCATTTGTGTTGCGAAATTCGGTATAATCTCACTTTTCATATTTCAAAAACATGCTAAGCTTAGTTTTTGAAAAGAACCTTAATAAAACATCATCACAGGCGGAAAAATAAGCTAATGTTACAAAAGTTTAGGCCTACTCTGTTTTTGATTGACATATTAATCGTGGTCATTTCGTTTCCTCTATAATATAACTTTCTTCAGTGACAAGTAGTCACGATGGGTGTCGACCTCAATGAGATAAAAAAAAACTTCAATGTGAACACTTCTGCTTATGTGGAAAAGAAGGACCCAAAAAGGTATGTTCACTTTCAAACAAGCTATTGTATCTTACGTTTCTCAGTATCTTGCCACAGCCTGGAAAACGAAACATTTTGATCACTGCTGCTCTTCCTTATGTGAATAACGTTCCACATCTTGGAAACATCATCGGATGCGTTCTAAGCGCTGACGTTTTCGCGAGATACTGCAATCTCCGTGGGCATCAAACCTTCTACGTTGGCGGAACCGATGAGTATGGTACTGCTACGGAAACGAAAGCACTTCAAGAAGGATGCACGCCGCGCGAGTTGTGTGATAAATATCATGCAATTCACAAAGGAATCTACGAATGGTTCGGGATTGACTTTACTCACTTCGGAAGAACCACCACTGATCATCAGACCGAGTGAGTTTTATCGTAGTAAAATATTGTTTTTAACTTTATGGTTCAGGATCTGTCAAGACATGTTCTTGAAGCTTCACAAGAATGGTTTCACCACAACACAAACGGTGGATCAGCTGTTTTGCAATCAATGTGATAAATTCCTCGCCGATAGATTTGTCACTGGTACCTGTCCGAACTGTGCGTACGATGACGCACGCGGAGATCAGTGTGATGGATGCGGGAAACTTATCAATGCCGTTGAATTGAAGGATGCAAAGTGTCATATGTGCAAAAGCACACCAGAAGTGAAACAGTCCACTCACATTTTCCTTTCTTTGGATAAACTTCAAGAATCTACAATGGATTTGATCATGAAACAAATGGATCTACCGGGTTCTAAGTGGTCCGCTAATGCCAAGGGAATCACAAAGTCTTGGGAGAATCAAGGATTAGAACCACGATGTATTACGCGAGACCTGAAATGGGGAACACCTGTTCCATTGGAAGGATTCGAGAAGAAAGTGTTTTATGTGTGGTTCGATGCTCCGATTGGCTACCTATCCATCACAAAATGTGTTCTTGGAGATGACTGGACCAAGTGGTGGAAAAATCCGAGCAATGTCGAGCTCTACAATTTCGTTGGAAAGGATAACGTCGCATTCCACGGCGTTATGTTCCCATGCTCGCAAGTTGGAGCAAACGACAACTACACTGTTGTGAACCACCTCTGTGCTACTGAATATCTAAACTATGAAGACACCAAATTCAGCAAGTCTCGTGGAACCGGAATCTTCGGAGATGCTGCTCAAAGAACAGGAATTCCAGCTGATATCTGGCGGTTTTATTTGCTGTACATGAGACCAGAAAGTCAGGATACTGCCTTCAGTTGGGACGATTTTGTGCTGAAAGTCAACAGCGAACTGCTCAACAATCTTGGAAACTTCATCAACCGCGCTCTCTCATTCGTGGCTAACTTTTTCGGAGGAGTTATTCCAAACATGGATTTAACGGAAGCGGATGCTACGATCCTTGAAGAAATTCATCAAGAATGTCTGCAGTGGGATACTCAGTTTGACGGAGTTCGTCTTAAGGACGCTGTCAAAAGTATTCTGAACGTTTCTCGGATTGGAAACCAGTATATGCAATCTCAAACTCCATGGGTTCTCATGAAAGGTGATGATGCAGCGAAGAAGCGTGCGGGTACGATCATTGGAGTAGCTGCCAACATTGCCTATCATCTGGCTGTTATCCTCTATCCAGTCATGCCGTCTGTTTCGGAAACCATCCGTCAGCAGTGTGACTTGTCGAAGCTTCCACTTTTTAGCCCATTCCCAAGAAACTACCTCAAGCCAGGACACAAAATCGGAAAGCCTTCTCCGCTTTTCCAAAAATTGGATCCTATCCAAATCGCAGAATTCAAGGCGAAATTTGGCGGTGGTCAAAATCCTCAGAATGCTGCAGTTGCAGCAGCTGCTGGAAATCAGAAGCAACAGAAGAAAACTCCACCTACCAAGGAGAAAAAAGGTAATCTAGAACTTTTATCTTTTATCTGCTGCACTCTCCATGTAGTTTGTTTATGCGGATCGGTGTTTTCTTGGCAAGCTTGTCTTAGCTAGTTGAGTTTAGTGTTGGTGATTTTACGATTTTTAGGTGGAGACTGGTGGAGCAGGCGAGCTGACGAAACACCGAGCGCTTCAAATAAACCACACCTTCAATGGCAACTTCAATGGATTGCATGCCCCTCAATCTTTTTTTTTACTTTTCAACTATTCCTTTCTGTTCTCGTGGATTTTTTCCTTGTTTCAAACCAGCTACCCATACTATAATTTATTCTTATTTCAGGCGGCGACAAGAAAAAAATGGCCTCGACTGCTGCTTTCGCGGAACTTGAACAAGGAGCGAAACTCATCTCGCAACTTCTCACCACGAACTTGAAGAAATTCGAGCAAGCTAGTAAGTTCATATGCAATCCACTGCAAACCACATAATTTATTTTTCAGAAGCCCTATTCGCTCGCAATAAACTTCAAAAGTTGGAGGAGGAAAATAGACAACTCACCCTTGATGCCAAGTCCCTTCAACAGCAATTGGTCGAATTAGAAAAAGCTGCTGGAATTAAGCAGATTCCCAAGCCAGTTGCATCATGCACTCCAACACCTACTTCAACTCCAGCGTCTGGTATCATTAACCAGCAGAAAAATGCCACACCAGCTCCACAACCTACTGCTGAACCGAAAAAAGCAAAAGAACAGAAAAAGGGTAAAGGAGGTGGCGCAGCCGCTGCTGCTCCAGTTGACGATGCTATTGATATTGGAAGACTTGACATGCGAGTTGGCAGAATCATCAAATGCGAGAAACATCCAGATGCTGATGCTCTATATGTTGAACAGATTGATGTTGGTGAGGAATCCCCGAGAACTGTCGTCTCTGGTCTTGTTCGTCACGTACCTCTCGATCAAATGCAGAATCGTCTTGTGGTCGTTCTGTGCAATTTGAAGCCAGCGAAAATGCGTGGAGTTGAATCGAGAGCTATGGTCATGTGTGCTTCGACTCCTGACAAAGTGGAAATTATGGAAGTGGCTGCTGACAGTAAACCAGGAACTCCTGTTGTTTGTCCACCGTTGACTCACCGGCCAGATGAGCAATTGAATCCAAAGAAGAAGGTAAGTATATAATTGTTTTCCCAGTCTTCTTTTTTACTATTTTTAATTCCTCATTTCAGATCTGGGAAACTGTTGCCGAAGACTTGAAAGTGTCTGCTGAGGGATTCGCAGAGTGGAAGGGACATCCGCTTCTTGTCGGAAACGCGACCAAGATGACAGCTCCAACCCTTCGTGGATGTCATGTTAAATAATTTAATTTTTTTTGGTTCTTCTTCTCATAATAAGTTGTTTCTGATTGTTAACATTTATATTTATTGCAATCTTTAAAGAGAGCACCGGTTAGAGTTCATTTTTTCTGTTTTTCGTCTATCCGGCTTCATATCGTGTTTTTTCAAATAGTCCTTTACCTGAAAATGAATATTACCGATTTAAGCAAGTTTGAATACAGAAGAACAATTTGTGGATTTTATCGATAAATTATACTTTATTTAATAGGATCTCCCGAGATCTTTGGTTTATAAATCTCATGCAAGTTTCAGAAAATGGCAAAGAAAAAGTCAGTGAAATCGAATAACGGACTCAACGATGAACGGTTCTCTCGAATCAAGTCTGATCCAATGTTTTCAGGACTCAAAAGTTCCGACAAGAAGGTGACGTATAGAATTTATTTACAGGAAATGTCTAATATATTTTGTTTAGGTTGTCATCGATAAACGCTTCGCTGCTGCTCTCACAGATGAACGCTTCTCGACTCGAGCAAAAGTTGACATGCGAGGAAGGAAGCAGAAAAAAACCGTAGGAAATAACATGTTGGATTTATATGAGTTGGAAGAGGATGAGGATGATCAACAGAAAAACAAAAAATCAACAGAGAAAAAACTGAAAAATAAGAGGAAGAAGGTCGAAGAAGATGACAAGGAGTTGGACGAGTTTTTCGACGAGAATGACGGAGAAGAAGAAGAGGTCGATGATGAAGAGGACGCAGATGATGAAAAAGAAGGTACAGATAATGAAGAAGTCGAAGATGAGAAGGAGAAGACCGTTGGCTTGAACGGTTTCAAGAAACTCGATTTGGCTCGTGGAGAGGGAAATGTCGATTCTTCATCAGATGACGATTCTAGTGATGAAGAGGAAGATGAGTTAGATGAACAAGAACAAGGCATTGAGTTGGACTTGGCAAACTTGGATAGGTGTGTGTTTTAAGTGTTCGGCTTCTCTTTTCCATTTCTCTAATTTCAGAGACGTTGATCAAGTTGAATGGACATCAAGACGGTTAGCTGTGTGCAATCTCGAATGGGATCAGATGAATTGTGAGGACATTCTGATGCTTGTGAAATCATTTACGTAAGTCAAAACCTTAATTCATCTATAACTTAAATTCTTTCAGTCCACAAGAAGGTTCCGTAGTTTCCGTTGGAATCTATCTCTCAGATTTTGGCAAGGAGGAATTGGAAAAAGAAGAAAAAACAGGACCCGCACTGAAATTGGCGAAACCTGTGGAAGAATACAAAGAGGATGAGATGGACGAGTGAGTTGAATATTTTCTTGTGACATCGATTATTTGGATTTCAGTGAAACTCGAACAGCAGTACGAGAGTACCTTGTAAACAAGCTCAAACACTATTACGCCGTTATCACTTTTGACTCCGTTCCATCGGCAGTAGCAGTTTACGAAGAATGCGATGGATTCCAATTTGAAGAGACTGGTCTGAAAATGGATATGCGATTCATTCCAGATGATATGGAATTTGAGGTAAAATTTTGAATAACTAGATAGATTTTTAATAATTCTTTCTACCGTTTCAGGAAGACCGTGTCAAAGAATTTCTGAACGCTGAAGACGTCAATATGGCCAAGTACAAGGCGAAGAAGAAGTCGAAAAGTGCAATCATCTCGACAGGAGCAAAAATCGGTTGGGATGAAGATGATCCATCGAGAAAAAAGAAGTTTCTCGAGGCTTTCAATGGAGATGAAGAAGCTGGAAAAGATCTCATCGTTGATTCAGATGACTCCGATGATGATGAGTCTAATAGAAATAAATTGATGGCCCTTCTGCATACGGATGAACGGAAATCCAAGTTGGATGTAGACTGGGAAGGAGAAGAAAAGGATGACGATGATGATGGAAGTGATTCATCTGATGGTGAATATGTAAAAGTGGACGATGACGATGATGAGATTGGCGTCAAAAATAAGAATAAGGATTCCGACGATGAGGAGGAAGACGTTGAAACTAAACAGGAAGAGGAGAAACTGACGGGTTATAAGGCTTACAAAAAGAAGCAGAAAGCTAAGTTAATGGAGAACAAACTGAAGAGGAAGGGAACAGCAGCAGGAGAAGCAGTAGCAAATATCAAGACAGTTGCTGCCGCTGAAACCATTGCCAGCGACGACAGATTCTCTGCTCTCTTCACTGACTCTGCATTCGCCATCGAGCCAAGTTCCAAGAAGTTCAAGGGATCACTCCTTGTTTCAAAACAAGCTGAACAGAAACTGAAGGGATCCACTATTTCCAATGAATCAAAACCATCTTCCCAGCCGGAGGATCTTGTCCAAAAACTGAAGAAGCAAGCGGACAAGTGGAACAAAAAGAAGTCTGCTCCAAGAATCTAATTGTATTCCTCTGACTATATTGTTAATGTTCTTATTCTGAACTTGTTGCGTTATTTTAATTGTTCTGTTATGTTTTCAATTCGTTTATAAATCAGAAAACCATTGTTTTTTGAATACATATGACAGCTTAGTTCGTTGTGACCATCGTGCAAATAATCTGGAATCAATGACCATTTCGAAACAAAAACTGTGATAAGAAATAATACAAAATTGTCTTCCTTATTGTAGTCTGATAAGCATTTCCGATTCGCTGCACTCAGGATTAGAATCTGTAAGATGGAAAGATCGGAAAAATGGGAAAGACGGATTCTTATTTTTGGGAAATTAAAAATTTGAGAAACTGGAAAAATTGAAGAACACTTTCTATTATAGAAACGCCGGTGGCCGTGGCCGAAGATCCCAAAACGACAATTACCGTAACCTTAACATTTTTATTTTCAGAAGTGTTTCTCGATTTCCGTGCGCTTCCAGTCACCTTTTTCTGTATTGAAATGTTTTATCTTCCGACTTTTTTGGAGAAAAAAAAGATTTGAAAAAAATAAGATATGAAAAATACGGAAAAGAACAATATTTTAGGTTACGGTAGTTGTCGTTGTGGGACCTTCGGCCACGACCACCGACGTTTCTCTTCCACAGTTCCGGTTTTTGCATAAATACCAGCATAATACAAGACCATAACTTCAAATGTTTCTTGAATAACTGATCTTGATTTGTTTGACCGTGATCTTTTTATTTGAAATTTTTCCATCATCTGAAAATGATAAGAAATACGGAATTCGGAAAATGGGGCAAAACTAGAATTCTTTAACCGATTTCATCTTTTTTCTTCCATTTTTAGTGGCTTTTACATCAGCAATTAAAAGTGTACTCAGCACAAAGAAAACAGTCTTGATGTTATTTTACATACATATAAAATCACAAAAATGATTACGTCAGGAGTAATAAAAAACGATTGCAACTCCGGGTTCAGAATCATATAAATTTAGTGAAACGAAGGAAAACCTTCAGATTCAGAATCATGAAGCTCCTTCTTTCGGTTCTTGTTCTGGCTGGAGTTGCCAATGCGGTTAGAAACGGAATTGACTTTATTCAACCAGTGTCTGTAGCCACATTCCAATGTGTTAAGAATGCTGGATATTCCTTTGTTATTCCAAGAGTTTTCACTTCTCTCGGAAAGGTGGACAGCACTGGAGTCAACAATGTTAAGAATGCTAGAGCTGGTGAGTTCAAGATCCATTGGATAACCGGTTTTTATGTTTCATGTCAATCAATGCTTTCAAAATATAAAGGAGGCACGGCAGGAGCTTTGTGGATTTTTTTGGAGCTAGGGGGTTAGCTCAGTCGGAAGAGCCACCGCACCTTCAATACTCGTCCCACAAGTTCAACTGCTTGAGACGATATGAACTATATGAACAAAATTTCGAGACAGTTCTTTTCAAGTCACTCCACATTAAAAAAAACAATGTAGTATTAGTAATAAGGCCTCCAAACACTTAATAACAAAATACAGTTTCAAACTTTAGAATTGCCAATGAAAACGTTCTACTTTACAAAAACTTTAATTTCAGCTGGTCTCACTGACGTCGATGGATACGTCTTCCCATGTCCCTCAACCAGTTGCCCATCAGCTGGAAACCAAGTGAAAGCTGCTCTCGACGCGCTCAAGGCTGCTGGAACCCACGTCTCCACCCTCTGGCTTGATATTGAACGTCTCGCTTGGCCAGCTAACCATGCAAGCAACCGGGCCTTCATTGAGGCTATGGTTGCTGAAGCCAAGGCTTATGGACAACAAGTTGGAATCTACAGTAACTACTACAACTGGCAAGATATTGTTGGATTGGACTACCACGGACAGTTGAGTTTGATGCTCTGGTGGGCTGCTTATGATGGAGTTAAGGACTTCTCAAAGTTCGCTGCTTTCGGAGGATGGACTCGTCCAACTATTCATCAATGGCAAGGAACCACTGCCGGTCCATGTGGAGTCAGTGTTGATATGAACTACGTTCCGTAGATTTAGCATTATTTTCTTATGTAAATAGATGAATGAATGTTTTAATGCATAAATTTTTTTTATTTAATCAACTATCAAGAACCTTTTCTAAAAATACTTCAAAACAAGAAAGTTCTGGATCAATCTAAAATTTTTAAAATATAAGTTATAGCAGAAAAGTCCGAAGTTCGCAGTTCTTTTGATCTGAATGTTGCGAATCAACTGATAAGAGAAATGGTAGAGAATTTCAGGCATATGAGACAAAACTCTAGTCCTTCTTTTCCCACCGTACATCAGCTATTAAATACATGTGATAAGGAGGGTTTTTGAAGTTTTTGGCATGATTTCCCCTGCTTACGTAACAGTCATAAAATTAGAATCTCCGGTATAGGAGCTGGTATAAATAAAGACAGAAGAGCACGCATCGGAAGAGCTCGGAAGAGATGAAACTTCTCGTTTCCCTGCTTGTTCTGGCTGGAGTTGCTGCAGCTGCCAGAAACGGAATTGACTTCATTCAACCGGTTTCTGTTGCTACATTCCAATGTATTAAGAAGGACGGATACTCTTTTGTGATTCCAAGAGTCTTCACTTCAGTTGGAACTCTTGATCATACTGGAATCCAAAATGTCAAGAATGCCAGAGCTGGTGAGTATAAAAAGCATTTTTAAGCAATCGACTACACTGATTTCAAAAATTCTCACTTCTGATTATAACATTTCAGCTGGAATCACGGACGCTGATGGATACATCTTCCCATGCTTGGCCACTCATTGCCCATCTGCTGCCAACCAAGTCAAGCAAACTTTGGATGCTTTGAAGGGTGCTGGAACTCACGTCTCCACCCTCTGGCTTGACATTGAACGTCTCGCCTGGCCAGCCAATCATGGAAGCAACCGTGCATTCATTGAGGCAATGGTCAAGGAGGCTGAAGCTTTGAAACAACAAGTTGGAATCTACAGTAACTACTACAACTGGCAAGATATTGTAGGATTGGACTACCACGGATTGTCTCATTTGATGCTCTGGTGGGCTGAGTACGATGGAGAGAAGGACTTTGGAAAGTTCAGAGCTTTTGGAGGATGGACTCGTCCAACTATTCATCAATGGCATGGAACTGAGACTGGACCATGTGGAGTCAGTGTTGATTTGAACTATGTTCCGTAATTGTGTCGTGTAAATAACATAATAAACTTTTGCTATTTTTAATTGAAAAATTATTTTATAGTACCCAAAATATACGAGTCATTGTTTAATAAAAAAGTGTTTATTTCGAAAAAGAAAAATCGGCACAAAAAATCAAACGACGGCTCCCCAATTCGATTTTGCATCGTTGATTGTCTCGTTGTCATCTGCCGGACGCTCAGCCATTTTTATATCGTATAAAATTTCTCAATTTTTAGACCGTCTGTATTCTAGAAGGAATGTTTGGAAAAACTTGAAGAAAAAAAAAACTAACACTTCGACTAAAAAGGCTGATTTTTAGAACTACAGGAATATTGAACAGGGTTACGAGAGGCAATGCCTCATTAAAGAAACATTATTTGTATGTGCAATTCACGTCAAACAGTCTTCAATTTAAAAACCACTACTAGAGATTACCGTAAATTACCGTACACCCTTTAATAGAATGCCCCACTCAAACCATCAACTTTGAGCTCATATATCTCAGTTCCTGTGAAAGATATCAAAAAGTAATACACTAACAAAATATTTAGGGCATTAATATCAACATTTTGTCAGTTTACTACTTTTTGATAAATTTTACAGGAACCGAGATATATGAGCTTGAAATCGGGGGCGTTCTATTAAAATTTTTACGGTATATGTTTCATTCGATATCAAAAAAAAACTCCTGCTGACTTAACTTTACAGAAAATAAAAAAGAAAGTACATGAAAATCATGCTTATTCATAATTATACATGACATTAATATTTTGCATTTACGGAACATAATTCATATCAACACCACTGATACCACATGGACCTTTTGAGGTTATTTCCTCCCACTGATGAATAGTTGGCTTGGACCATCCTCCAAACGGAGCATACTTTGAGAAATCCTTGACTCCATCATAAGCAGCCCACCAGAGCATCAAATTAGATTGAGCGTGATAATCCAATCCGACAATATCCTGCCAGTTGTAGTAGTTTGTGTATATTCCGACAGTTTGACCGTATGCTTTAGCTTCAGCAACCATAGCCTCAATGAATGCACGATTCGTAGCATGATTAGCTGGCCAGTTGAGACGTTCAATATCAAGCCAGAGGGTGGAGACGTGGGTTCCAGCTGCTTTGACAGCATCCAGTGCAGCTTTTACTTGGTTTGCAGCTGATGGGCAACTGGTTTTAGGGCACGGGAAGATGTATCCATCGACATCAGTTAGGCCAGCTAAAAACGAAATTAAGTATATTTTTTTATGTATTACAATAGTGACCAGCTCTTGCGTTCTTGACATTTTGGACTCCAGTGGTGTCAACGGTTCCAAGGGAATGGTAGATTCTTGGAATGACAAAAGAGTACCCAGCGTTTTTGACACATTGGAATGTGGAAACAGTTACAGGTACATTCAAATCGATTCCATTTCTAGCTGCACTGGAAACTGCCAGAAAAGCAGAAACTAAAAGAAGGAGTTTCATGATTCTGAATCTGATTCATTCCAGTCATTTCTTCACATTTATATGATAAGTAACCCGGAGTTTCATTAGTTTTTTATTGCTCTGACGGAATAATTTTACGATTGTATCTGTGTCTGCAAAACTATTATCTTCTATGTTTAAATGTAGTTGGGTGCTGGCCACGTATGAAAAGACTAGTCAGTGGGGATTTTCAGAAAGGAAATCAGAACTTTGAATGAAGAACTGGAGTTTTGAATCTGAAAAGTAAAATGAATTCAACAAATCACTGATTCTGATTTTGTCGTTTATTGCATACTTGCAACCGGGCCTTTGCCGGGCCTTCGCGGGATCTGTCATAGCTTCTTTTAGAATTGATATTTTTACCCAACTAAATCAAATAAGATAGAACTCAACGAGTGCTACAAAATGATATTACTTAAAAAACTGTGCCTTGTTTTTGAACAAAGTTACAGACAAAAAACCAAGGCCCGGCCCGGCCACTTTATGACTTGTAATTTTGTTCATAGACAAGACACAGTTTTCCAAATAGTATCAGTTTGTAGTACTCGCCGAGTTCTATCATATCTAGTTTAGATGATCTAAAAATATTGTTTCTGAAAGAAACTATGGCAAGGCCCGGTTGCAAGTATGGTTTATTGTAAACTGAAAACTGATTTATTCAATCAACAAAATAGTAAAAGTTCAGATACCGGAAAACTTGTAATAGGAAGGTCTCCATATTGTCAACTATGAGCTAATTTATGTCAACTTATAAAATTTTTGTTATTTGTGTCAACTTATAAAATTTTTGTGATACTATGATTGACAATTTATCAGTTGACCTCTTTTTTTATGTCTTCGACAGGAACCGAGATAAATTGGCTCAAAGTTAAAAGTTAGGGAGACCTTCTGTTACAGGTTTTATGTTAAGTGATTTTTGAGACTTCTAATTTCACTGTTGCAAAACATAAGAAACTCCCGCAACATTTTTTTGCCCATCCATCTCAAAGTCAAAACCACCGAACCAAGGTGGATCCGATGAAACAGCGACTTGATGACGTAGTTTTTTTCGACAGCCTTGAATTAAACAAGTGACCTCACTCAGGTAAATCGAAAAACCTTTCTGAGCTACACTTGAGACATTCTGAAACCTTTTTAAGCAAAAAGTCCGCGAATTAACTTTTTCAAGCCACAAAAAAACTTTTTAAACCTTTTGAAGCAACTTTTAAACTTTATTCAGCCGCGCTCGAAGATAAAACTTTTTAAAGCCACATTTAAGCTTTTTAACCCTTTTTAAGCAACATTTAAACTTTTTAAAACTTTTTTAAGCCTAAATTTTGTTTTTCAGATTTTGAATTCGATTTCTTTTTTGTCCGTTTTTTTTTCAAAATGTTCTCTTTATATTTTACTTTTTCTGTCGCTCAACTTGTGCTTAATGCTTCTACTTTAAGCTACTTTGTTGAAAATGGCTCCCCCGATCAAAAGAGTTCGTTTGTCAGCAAAACAAATCCTACTTCTAACGTTTGAAAAAAATAGGCTAGGTAATTCCCGAGTTGTGAGTACTTAATTAGGTTGTATTTACTTAATTAGGTTGTAATTAGGTTGTTAAAATTGTATATGTAGAATGCACTATCTCGGGAACAACGTTACGAACAGCGATTCCCGACCAAATCAGACTTTTACTGAAGTTTGCAAGTATGGCTACTCAGAGGATTTTCCCCAATAAAGTAGCACTGGAGGACAAAAAAGCTATGTATGTTTAGAGTATTCATAATATATATAGTTTCACTTTTTTCAGAGAGATTACGCCCTCACCGCGATCGTTCCGTTTTCGGAATACTCACTTCGGATCGCTATTGAATTCTTCACTTCGACTTCTCAATATCCAGATGTGGCTAACTCTTTGATTGCTATAAACATCATAAAATTCCTTGGAGAGCCTCTCTACATGAAGTACACTTGTATATCAGCAAGCACATGGAAACTAGCTGCTAGTTCGTTGATTTTGGGAAATGTCGCGGTCACAAGTCTCCTCCAAAGATGCACACAGGTAATAATAAAAACATGAACAAAAACCACAAATTTTTTCAGGTCATGGCGGATTTCTGTAAGGATTGGTCAGCTGCTGGAGATCTTCGCCTACCAAGATCCCGGATCCTAGAAATCATATCAGCACTTCAAGCAACCCCTCTTCCCATTCTCTTATTTTGTTTTGTTGGTTTTTAATAAATTCTTTTTTTATTCCGTCTTGAAAAATCGATTTCAGGTACGAGAAAAACTTTTCCAAGCAATGAAGCTTATTCAAGCAACGACAAAACTATTATAAGCCATTTTTTAACTTTTTAAAGCAGTGCATATACTTTTTTAAGCATCAAATAAACTTTTTTAAGCAACGAATAAACTTTTTTAAGTATCAAAAAAACTTTTCTAAGCCCTTCTCTAACTTTTTCAAGCAACGAGTAAACTTTTTTAAGCAACAGTAAAACTATTATTAGCACTTTCAAACTTTTTCGAGCAATGGATAAACTTTTCTAAGCAACAACGAAACTATTCTAAGCCCTTTACAAACTTTTTCAGCCGTGGCTAATCGGGCACCTTTTTTAGTTTAATCGTGGCTTGTTTATGGCTCAGAAAGGTTTTCCGAACTACCTGAGCAATTGGGCTAAATGAGCGAGTACAAATACTTGTTATAATGTTTTCTCACTCGTAGAAACAAAACAAAAATGCAACTATTCCTAGACTGTATCCTATTTTTATTTGTCAATGGATTGGTAGGAATTCAGAACATTTAGATGGTCGAAATTAAAATGTTTCAGGTGAATTAATAAATGTACCATAACGCTTCCAAATCAAATATTAAACTTCTATCTGAACCTTCTATTTCGTTACAGTAAAAACTTTATTAGATAGCCATGGCACTCTATTGTTCGGGGGTGGTCTGGGGTGGCACTGTATTAGGGGGTGGCATTCAATTAGAGGCTGGCACTATTTTGTTGGGAGCCAATTTCTACTGAAACTCATCACAAAAGGACTCGATTTTCAACTTTTTCATGAAATGACTTTCGAGGTTTTCTTGATTTTTCTACTTCCTTTTTAGAGATTTTCGGAGTCTGGTATTATCCTGAAACCTTTTTGACAAATACAGTATCTCTTTTGCGTTTGAAAAGGGCTAGAAACCTGGTAAATGGTTTTTTTGTGTTTCTCTTCAACTTTCACGACAGTGACATCAAATCCGCAGTGGCATTATATTAGGTTGTTCGGAAAGTCCTTTCCATTTTTAGCGTCAGATACATTCAAAGTAAAATAGTTCAAAACGATGTCGGATAAATTGGATGTAATGACCATCGTTATCAATGACTATCTGCCAATGCCCACTAATTTGTGGATGCCTTCCTTCCAGAACTCCGGTCACAGCGAGTTAAAAATCAAGTCAACCCATTTTTGATACGTTGTTTTGAAGTAATTTTTCGTCAATCAAGATGACGTTAGAAGTGGCTGGTTGGGTAATAATCAGAAAGTAGACTATACAGTGAATAAGGCAGAATCGTCTAGATATATCCACCGAGATTGGCCTGGGTCTTCCTTCCCGCATGAGGTTGCGAATTTTAATTTTCAAAATAAACCTCTGCGTTCCTCTCCAATCAAGATCCACATAAAATCTGAGTTATGTCACCTGACAAGAATAGGCATGGGTCGTAAAAGTGACACTATTATCAGGCAGCTCCTAATACTCCATTCTTTGGTAGACCACCATACCGACAACATCCCATTTTTAACACTAATTTCAGGTTTCGAGACGTCTGGTGGTTGACTGCCTTTGTCAATCCACTTGGCATGTTGCTTATTGTAATTACACATTACCCATTTATCACCACTAGCAATGGTTTGATTCCAACATTCATGTGTGCAACGCAGGATGAGAAGATTCAAACAGGTGCCCACCCGGGGAAAAAAGTTGCGTTGAGCCGAAAGATGGGGTCAATTTCTTCCTACTTTTTTGACTGTGCCGAGAGTTTTCAATCTACGGTTTTTTAACGAAAGGCTTGCCACTGATGTACTTCATATATCACACACACAGTTTGAGGCGGGTTCCTTTCTTTCCCGGCTTTTAATGCATCCAAACCTAAGCCCATTTGCCTTTTTGAAGGGGGATTTTCGTCAAACAAGAATTCCCGTTTTACAAATTACTGAATCCAGGTTGTGATGGTAGTTCGAATGGGTGCATTTGCGTTGTTAACCGCTACTAGTTGGCGATCAATTTCAGCTAATTTAAGATCAGTTATAAATACAATTAAAATGATAGTCCAAAAATGGAAATTAATAGGCCGAAAACGGTGAGCATATCTCATTACACGAAATCCATAAAAGTATCATTATTCCAGTTTATCCGACAAAAACAATCATCCTGTTGCATACTTTTATCAATGTGACAGAGAATCTGTAATCCAATCTATTCATAATCATTTTCTCGATTTGTTTGAAAATTCTGTGAAGTATAATTGACAAACATCACGTTGTTGGGAGAGTCCAAAGTTAGATGTTCCGTCTATTCCAAAACTCCAAAACTTATCATTCTGTATAGCTATTTGGCTCAATCGGAACTTTGTCGACACGAAAAAGCTTGAAAACTTTTTCACCTCATCTCCTGTATTCAAATCAATTATTAGGTTGTTCGGAAAGTCCTTTCCATTTTTGATCTGTTGTTTTCGAACTAACGAAGTCCTAAGACATCTCTACCAAACTTAAACATCTGTAATTGAGGGTTGATAAGTATTGACAGAGCGTGCTCTAACCGGTTAACATCGCACTCCTTACGTCTTCTTAATTTTTCTCATATGCATTCGATTTCCTTTCTTCTCTAATTATGACTACCATTTGTGTTTCTCTACAATCTTTTTCATTTTTTTTCAAAAAATATGAGGGAATTGATCCAATGGTCCCAAATTAAGAGATACGAAAGTATCTATTCAGTTACGTATGACTGGAATGGAACGGATCAAGTGTTGGTTTATTATCAATACAGGCACGAGCTCAATAAGCGCCAACACAGGATGAGCATCGTCCAGCACAAAGAGACTACAAACGAGACTACAAACGATCTGGAAAGACAATTGATTTTCAGTGAGTTCCAATGATCAACGAATCACAATTAAATTTTTATTTTAGTTTATCCGACAAAAACAATCATCCCGTCTCATACTTTCATCCATGTGACAGAGAATCTGTGGTCCAATCTATTCATAATCACATTCTCGATTTGTTTGAAAATTCTGTGAAGTATAATTGGCAAACATTAAATTGGTGGAACAGCCCAGAGTTGGTTGTTCCGTCTATTCCAAAACTCCAAGAGTATCATTCTGTATTGGAATACAGCTCAAACGGAACTTTGCTGACGTTAAAACGTCGAAAACCTTTTCACCCCATCTCCTGTATTCAAATCAATCCAAATGGACGTAATGACGGAAACGGAGCCATTTGATCCGGCATCCAAATTCTATCAGACAGAATCTTTTGAAATAGATCAACGCGAAATCAGCAACCTCAATGTTCTGCGTCATTTTCAAGGAAGACAGATAAGTATAACTCGCAATACATACGATCAGTTTTCGTCGATTTTGTGAATAGATGGAAATACCAAAAGTTGGAACTCATGAGACTTGTAATTTGTAATGGAACTATTCAGAACCAAATTCTATATGCAATAGGGGCAAAGCATATTGATGCAACTAAAAAAACACCAACGCTTACTTTGCCCAGAGTGTAAGTAAAGCAGATCAACATATCTTCTATTTCGGGGGTGGCTGTGAAATAATTAACCTTTTTCAGACACGATTGGTGGTTTGATAATCCAAATCTGAAACCAATCACCAGCCACACATACTTCGCTAGAGAATCAGATAATCGCGTTGCATCTATTCAGATTGAACATTTTCCGAATGCTGGTATTCTAAGTTTCTTAGTATGGGATAAACGGAGGAAGAGTTTTTGAGAATGGTGGAATAGTCGATGTCTGGTTTTCAAAGCATCCGATGGTTAATTGAGTTATGGGAATCGATCGGACAGCGCTTCTTTCAAATCCTAAATCTTTATTTAGTTGTATATAATGATGATTAGATGACTATGAACTACTTTTATTTCAATCTTGTGCTTTTTTTTTAAATTTCGTTCTCTGATCTTTTTTTTCTAACAAGGCAACCTTTTAAGTGAAGGTAGGAGTCAGCAGAAACCACCTACATAGATCGAAAGAGCATGGTCGAAAACCTATAAATCTGGTTCCAAAGTCTGCTTACGAGACCTTTAAAGTACTGAAATTTCAGTTTCAGTGCCAAAAATTCCACTTTCAGTGTAAAATCGGCAATTGTCAAACTTGATTTTCTCCACTCCTAGGAGGTTTTAGGAGTTGAAACGTTCTTGTTTTACTTGAAATTATGCGGAATTTTATATTTCAAACATTTTCTGAGAAAAAAAAAGTATTTTTGGAAAAGTTTTGGGAAGTTTCAAAATTTGCCTAGATTTTCGGTGGGCCAAAAAAAAAAAATTTTTTTAGAAAATGTAGAAAAAATCTGAAATATAAAATTTCACATCGATTTAAGTATTACACAAAAATTTTGAGTCATAAAACCTTCTAGGAGTGGAGAAAATCAAGTTGGAAAATTGCCGATTCTAAACTGAAAATGGAATTTTTGTCACTGAAACTGAAATTTCAGCACTTCAAAGGTCTCGTAAGCAGACTTTGAAAACGGACTTATAGGTTTTCGACCATGCTCTTTCGATCTATGTAGGTGGTTTCTGCTGACTCCTACCTTCACTTAAAAGGTTCCCTTGTAAAACTATTTATTGAGTCTTTGTCAGTTTTTGTATAACTACGTTTTTATGTCTTTTTTCTCAATTTCAGTTTTTTAGCTACCAAAATTTGTATTTTCATATTGGATCGCTGGCGACTTTTGACTCTGCCTCCGACCTCCTTCTTTTGTTAATTTTCTGTCTGTCTCTGATCCCTTTTTTTCTTTTTAGACTAAACTTTTCTTAATTTTAATCAAATATCAATCTATTATGAAAATAAATAATACTTCATGAATAACAAACGGAAAAAAAGAGCAATGAAACATGAGATACTTGTGAAAAGGAAAAACCGAAGTAGAAAGATCATGAAAACGGAAAATATGAGACAGTTAATAAACAGGAATTTGATAGCATCTTCGAGTATTGTCGTAGGTAGCACGGAGAACTTCTTCCAAAGTGCAATTCTTGATTTCTGCTATCCTCAGCGCTGTTGCTATCGCCATTCCAGGCAGGCTCACTTTTGGAGGAGTAAAGCTATCGAAGCATTTAGGTTTGAAATATGGCGCGTCGGTTTCTAGAAGAATTCGATCAAGAGGAATTCTACGAACAGCGTCGATCTGAGGTTCCTTGAAGGTGAGAATGGCTGGAGTGTAACCTGAAAAAACGACTAAATTAACTGACTTTTGGAAACAACTATTTTACCGAAGTGAACATCTGGACATTGTTTCAGCCATTGCCGGGCAATCTCCCAGTTTTCTGTGTAGCAATGTCTGTGTATCTTGAGAAAAGGATGCTTTTGAACCATATGCTGAAATTAGTAAATTTGCTTATTCTGTTAGAAGCATTTTAAAATCTTTTACCTTCTTAAGTATTTCCAAACATTCTTCCTCTGCATGACCTTTGTTTCCATTTCGACAATGAATAACAAGTGGAAGTCTATACTTGTAAGCCAGTGCAACATGTTTGTCGAAAACCTCTTTTTGAATTTCCAATGAGGACTCACATCGGTGCAGATCGATTCCACATTCACCAACCGCCAGAACTTTCAAATCGGAACCTCTTGATAGAATTTCTTCCATCGTATTCCAAAACGCATCCATTTTTCCCCATCTGCAAGAACCACATTTGCAAAAAAAGTATTTTGATTTTGTTTCTTTTTTGCTCTGCTGAATTTTTCGGTTTAACATATTATGCTTGTCTGAGGAAAAAAAGGTTAGAGAGTATTTTTTGCAGTCTGAATACGGTAGCGATATCGAAGCGGATAGCCTAAATAGCACACAAACGGTGGAGACGCAGACACATTTTCTCTGCGTCTCGACCTTTTTTTTCTCAGATAAGCATAATAGAGACTCAACCTTTTCGTTATCAGTAGCAAGATTAGAGTACAAGCGACTATGCGAATCACTCTTTTTTGCTTTTCTCGCGGTTTCCAGTCTCATGGAACAATGTTTGCAATAAATTCAGCTTACTAACTTTTCTGCATGATGTGGATGACATCCCCAAGTAGTTCCTAAATAGTAGTTCGATCGTAGCTGTTCCAGAATCCATCGGAAATCATACTCCTCATTATCGGCGCAGTTAACAAATAATTCAGGCTTGATAAAGTTGGCAATCATTCCAGCAAACGCTCTAGGGAACGCATCCGGATATCTATAGATCCATTCTCGAATCCCATCCGTAGGCTTGAACTGTTTTGAGCGCATGAGCATAGTGTAGATGAAGTCGGTGTGACAATGTGAGTCAATGTAGGGCATGTCTGTGCAGTGAAACTGAAAAACAGATTTAAAAATGTTCAGCTTTATGACCGGGACTCCGCAGTGAGTCCTCTATTCAGCTTCGTGAATTCATGACATACCTTCTCTAACAGGGCCTTGTTGTGGTTCTCAGAATCATCGTTGCGACCAGACGACGGAGTTTCTTTCTTAGGAAAACCGGGACCTCTTGTCGTTACCGGTTTCTTATCCGTTTTATTTCGTCGAGACCCTATGTTACATTTCTCTTGAACCTAAAAGATTAACAGTTTTTAAAGTTACATTACAAGACTCACATTGTGAATGATATCAGAGGAAGGTTCTGTTGAAGAAAGAGAGGGAGTCGTTGTCCTCCAGTTTTTTGAACTAGCGCTTGGCGATTTATCGGTGTTTGTTGAATTTTTGACAGGTGAGCTTATGGTGTCATCACCGTCGTCGTCTTCTTCGCAGCAATTTGGTGTGATCTTCCGAAACGATTCTCGACACTCCTCTTTCACCAGTGTACTGAAATGTGTTTTTTGAAATACACACAATTTTTGAAACACATGTGTACCTTGGGTTGGACCCTTTTTCAGTACGTTTTGCCGGCGGTTGGTACAATTCTCGCCCATTACCTTTGTCGCTCATATCTGAAATGACAACTGATAAATAAGAGCAGCTTATAGTAAGGAAAAATTAAGAATATTCAAACGAATTTTTGAAGATGGTGAATGTCGCCACAAAATGTTTCAAAACTGGCGGAGTTGTTTCATTTGTGCAGAATCATAGTAAATTAAATAGTGACAGATTTTTGCGTATATTGACTTCTATTTCAACAAAACGAAAAAAAGATAAAGCTATATTTGAATTTGTGAATAAAACACCCACCTAAAAACCAGATAAACGAGACACTCTGCTTCAAATCTGCCGCCGTGCTCGGCAAAAAATGACGGGAAAAATCGTGCACCGGCATTGCAAAAAGGGGCGGATTGACTCCGCCTCTAGAACCATGTGCCGTTTTGTTGATGTTTCTCTGAAATTGGTTTTTTTCAACGCTTCTTCGTACTTTCATTTATCGATTTATTTTAATAATCAAAAGAAAAACTGAAGTATTAAACCTCATTTTGCAATTTCAGAATGGATTCTGATCTGGAAGAAGATTTTGACGATTATCATTATGGAATCGACGAGGACGACGATTATCCGGATTCTCGTCCAACCGTGATTCTCATGGGACACAAAAGGTGAGTTTCCGACAGAACAGCCATAAATATGTTTAGTTTTTTCAGAAGTGGAAAAACTTCGATCAGAAAGGTTGTTTTCCAAAAAATGTCACCAAATGAGACAATGTTCGTTGAAAGTACTGCGAGGATCACCCGAGATAGTATGTACTTACTTTTCTGCGTCCATTTATTTGGGGGCTCATTTATGCATTAAATCGACTTATTTACGACCTAAAGAGGAAATAATTCATATTTTGCAGCCATATGCTCGTCATTCATCAACTTCGAGACAATCGAATTTCCTGGACAAATGTGCCCGTTCGATGATTCTCTCGATCCGATTGGAATATTCCAAAAATGCGAGGCTCTTCTTTTCATTATTGATGCTCAAGCCGAACTCCAGGAACCGATTGCCACTCTCGTCGAGTATTTCTGCAGGGCTTACAAAATCAATCAGAACATCAAGTTCGAAGTTTTCGTGCACAAGGCTGACGGACTAACGGAGGAGGCTCGTGTTGAGACCAAGTTCAACATATACCATCAAGTCAAGGAAACTATTAAAGATCAAATTGACGTAGATCTACAAGTCACCTATCATTTGACATCAATTTATGATCATTCCATCTTCGAAGCATTTTCGAAAGTCGTTCAGAATCTCGTTAAGCAATTGCCAACTCTCGAGCGTCTTCTAGATGTTTTCAACAACGTTAGTTTGAAATTCAAAATTAATATCTCGTTTACCGTAAAAGTTCTAATAGAAGATTCAATTTCAGAGCTCGAAAGTCACAAAGTCGTTTTTGTTCGATATCCTCTCCAAAATCTACATTGCCACTGACTCGGAGCCCGTTGAAATGAGTATTTACGAACTCTGCTGTGATATGATCGATGTTACACTGGACTTGTCGTCCATATATGGGTGAGCTGATTTCAGTCCTCATAAAAGCAAAAACACATGAATTCAGGGTGTCCGAGAACGGTTCTAATTATGATGAGCGGTCGTCGTCTGTAATTCGCCTCAAATCTGAACAAATCATGTTCCTTCGTCAAGTCAATAAGCATTTGGCACTAGTTTTTATCATGAAGGAAGATGGCAACGAGAAGGCTGGTTTCATCGACCACAACTTTGGTGTATTTAAGGCTGGTATCGAGCAAGTGTTCAAAGTAAAAAACAGAGGCGTCAACTTCTAATTTTCCAACTTTTGAAATAATCATGTCAAATAAATATCCTTTTTCAACGTTTGTATTTCGAGAAACAATGAAAGAGTCTAAGAAGTTTGATTGAAAAGTCGACGTAGACAGTAACAAACTGAATATTCAGAGATTCTGCGCTGTCTTTCATCCCGGATTCCTTGAAAATTGATTTCTCAAATTTTCAACTATTTTTTGCTATTTGAATAGTTTTTCAAAAGAATTCAATGGACACTTTGGAGAAACGTAAAGATATACGACGAAACTCAACATAAATTGAGAAAAATGGGCAAAAATTCATTGAAAAATTAACGTCCCGATTTTTCCCGAACAATAATTTCGGAAAAATTTTCGGAAACAGAACTTCCCGAAAACGTTTTTCGGGAATGATTTCTGGAAAAAAAATTCGGAAACAGGAATTCCCGAACATCTCTGAATATTATACGAGCCGCAGTTTGATATCCATTCTTTGTCTACACATTTTGATGAAATGAAAACCTGCTTATCGCTATGAATATTGTTATATTACTCTCGTCCGAAATCATTGCACGTTGCGGCCGAAAATTTACTCAAAATCGCATAAAACAAATTGATGCATGCGCCTTTAAAGGTGGTGTACGGTGAAATTTTTTATTGCATCAAAATGTGCAGAAATGCATGGAGATTGACTTAAAAATAAAGAAGGGCATTAGAAGGGCTGGTTCTTCTATTGTTCCAAGGTACCTCCGGAGGGCCCTTCTATTACGGGGGCCCTTCTATTTTTCCAAGCCCCTCTCGGAGGGCCCTTCTATTAGAGGGGCCCTTCTATTAAAGGGGCCCTTCTAATACAGGTTTTACGGTAGGTTTGCAATTTTATTCTTTTCGAAAATTTCCGTGTTGAAAACCTCCAGACAAGGCAGAAAGTAAAATGCCTCGAAAATAAAAAAAATTGCCGGAAAACGGTCGAAAAATATTACTCTCGTCCGAAAATTTACTCAAAATCGCATCGTCGGTCGCACAGCGTAAAAAAACAAATTGATGCATGCGCCTTTAAATACAGTACCTCTGACGTTTTATATTTTGGGCCTTTTTGGCTGTTTTTTTTCTATTTTATAAGAAAAATAAGTTGAAGATTTATAAGAATTACACAAAATTAGACAGAAACAAGCGAAAAAATGAGAAAAATTTGAGAAAATTCGATAAATGTTGAGGTACTGTATTAAAAGCGCGTACAATAATTTTAAAAATACAGTAAGGTTCTCTCTGTGGGAGCTAAGCTCCGCCCACCGTTGTTTTCTCGGCCGCAACGTGCATTGATTTCGGACAAGAGTAATAGCACCACTACCAAAGTAGCGCTAAGCTTTTTTTTCTTCCATAACAGATGAGGAGTAATATGCTGCCGCAGTGAGAGAAACATGAAAAATCTTTTTTTATAACCATTTTATTTCCAAAGCTAACAAATAACAGTGGAAACACAACAATGTTTACCAATTAGAACTTGCTGAAGCCCTTCTTGGAGGTTCCGGACTTGTTGACCTTCAACACGTTGAATCTGACGGTCTTCGAAAGTGGGCGGCACTCTCCGATGGTAACAAGATCTCCTGGGTGGATATCTCTGAAAAAATGTTTGGTTTGAATTTTCATAAAGCTAGGGTACTACCTGAAGGCTGGGGAGCAGTGAGCTGGCACGTTCTTATGTCTCTTCTCGTAACGACGGTATTTCTTGATGTAGTGAAGGTAGTCACGACGAACAACAATGGTTCTGGTCATTTTGTTCTTGAGCACAACTCCGGTGAGGATCATTCCACGGATTGGGACATTTCCGGCCCATGGACACTTCTTGTCGATGTAGGTTCCCTCGACAGCCTGAAAATCGATTATTTAGAACCACGATACAAAGGGGATATCTCTTACCTCACGTGGAGCCTTGAATCCGAGTCCGACCTCACGAATGTATCGTGGAGTCTTCTTCGACCCAGCGAGAATACGGGCCTTGTTGTTAAGGTTGACCGTTGGCTGCTTCAGAAAGGCCCTCTCTGTCTGTTCAGACATTTTCCCAGGTTCTGAAAAATCAAATATTGGTGAAAATATAAAGCACGAAAACATGGCAAGAAAACGGGAAGTGTAAGTATCGTAAAAATACACCTTCTGAAAGAACACAATTTTCTCGAAAAATTTTGGACATAATATAGTTCTAACTACTCATATTAACACATTTTTTCTAAAAAATATGTCAAAAATCATCGAAACACGTACGAAAATTCAAAAATTCTTTTAGGAAAAGGAATAAAAAGAAAAAATATGTTTGATTCACGTCGGCAACTACGGTGATGGGCGCGTGGTGAAACCCGCCGGAGACAAAAGTGTGTGTGCCTTTAACTTTTCTGTCTGCGTCGCGTCTCCTCTTTTTCTTATTTTTCACACTCTTCTTTTTTTTCTTCTTCTTCTTACTCCCCGATTTCGATGGATATTGAGACCTGGCAAAGTTAAAAAACACGAATATTATAGAACGGAAATAACTGTGACACCTGCTTCTGTTTTCCAAAGTACATCCTGAAGGCCTATCAATCAGGGAGAGCCCTTTAATTTTTTCGAAAGTTTAAATTCGACAAATGAATAAATCCTCGTCCAAATTCCATGTCTTTTCAATAAACACCTTTTCAGAATCAGCAGCCGTCAACGTCACAAGGAAACGGGATGCTGATGACAGATAGCTATGATATGGTGGGACCATCAACATCGTATGCGCCACAAATGGATCATATGAATCCATCTTCGGTCGGGAACCCATCGTCACATTCTGGAATGAATCAGCAACAACATCAGAGTACGAACAGTGGTCAACAAATGCAGCAGCCGCCACCACCGTCGAGAAAGTTTGAAAGTGCTAATAATAGTTTTACTGTTGCTTAAAAAAGTTTACTCGTTGCTTGAAAAAGTTAGAGAAGGGAGACCCCGCAAATTCCGGTGAAAGAAAAAACCGGAGAAAAAAATCGGGGAAAAATGGGCGGAGCTTAAAATGCAACTCTGGCACGGTTTTTCTCGACTCCGCCCACTCTCCCCGATTTTTTTTCCCCGGAATTTGCGGGGTCTCAGAGAAGGGCTTAGAAAAGTTTTTTTTTGACACTTAAAAAGGTTTATTCGTTGCTTAAAAAAGTTGTTTTACTGCTAAAAAGGTTTTATCGTTTCTACTAAAGGTTTAAACTATTGATTCTTTTGAAGACAGATTTTCAGAAAATACATTTATTAGAGAAAAAGAAATTAACAAAAAAACACTATCATATCCTCCTGGAAATATTTAAAATTTTTAGAAATAGATATTTAGAGCTACAACTCACTGTTATGGAAGGCGTTCTCTCCTGATTCATACGTAGTTTCAATAGTGGATCTAGTCTTCCTCATATTGGTGTAACACGATTTTCCAAACTGTCGCTTTGGAAGTTTGAAGTTTCTCCTTGTCTGAAATTATGATAGGTAAATTTATTTTTCACTAAAACTGACGAACCGTAAACTGACGAACCGTCTAATATTCCATTTGTTGAAAAACTGCTCATCTCTCAATTTTTAGCTCCTTCGGAAACAACGGTGAGTAGTCTTCTCACAAAAGCTAACAAACTATCACAACAAGAGAACAACAACGAAAATCAAGCTGTGAAAGTTGGAGCACGAGTGACAACAGAAGATATGATGATTGTGAGTTTATTTATACAAAAACAATATGCCAACAATGAGTGTTTTTAGATAAGTCAGTTGATGGCTGAGATCAACACTTTGAAGAATAACGAGCAAAACGGTTATGACCACAAAGAACAACTTTAAATTAGAAAACGGGCTCCTCAGCAGCAACCACAACAACAACAGCAGCAGCTTCCACCGCCTCCACCACAGCCTAAGAAGCCGGCGTCAAAAAATAAGCCAACTCCAAGGCCCGTTCAACAACAGATGCAACATCCACCCCAGCAACAACAATTGCCGATGATTGCGCAAGCTCAAATGACCCCCTCTAAAATAATGATGGAACCTCCAAGCACGACAATGGTACCGAGTAATAACCAGATGAATCAGATGTATAATGGTAACGGATCGGAAAATTATGCAGGGTATCAGTCGATGGAACCCGGAACGAGTCAGCAGCAGTATAATGATTTTCAACAACCACAATCCCATGAAGCTATGCTACAGCACCATCAGAATCAGGGCCATCCGCAGGTTATTCAAGCTAAAGTAGTGCCATCTATGAACTAAGCACGAGTGACAACAGAAGATATGATGATTGTGAGTTTATTTATTAGGGAAATACTTTTCACAAAGCTCGCGCTCTACCGCACCGCCCAGATGGCCGAGTTTGGTTGCAAGAGTTTGGTTGCAAGAGTTTGGTTGGGTGGCGGCCGGGGGCCGGCGGCGATATTTTAATTTTAAAACGATTTTTGATCTATTTTCTTCAATAAAACTTAAATTTTCACAGTTTTTCTTCAGAGATGCCACTTGGGTTCAAGCGAGGGGGTTAGAAAAAG